TGGAAAGAGTCACAGAGGCTGCTAGGAGGGGGTGCCACTGATCTCTGTACCTCAGAAAAGCTGCTCTCTCCAATAGCTGCAAGGTAATGCTCATCATCTAATTGCCAGAGCTTCATCTCTTGTGACATTATGACCTCTGGCTTGTTTTTTACTGCACCAGCATACTAATTTTCAAGGACTTGGTGCATCAAGCTTCAGAAGTTCCTAATGTTGAGCAGGGTGACATGTAGATCCTTAATACCATCCCAGCTCATGCTTGCAAGTCACTGAAGACACAGAGATTGAGATTCAGCTCCAGTATTTTATAGCACAAATGTGCTATATGTTAAAACTACTGATAGAGATAGTGGAGCCTGGAAGCACTTCAGCTGTTCAGGTGCCTACTCCAGGCTAAATGCAGTGAGCATCCGGGCTCTACTGACTGACAATTGGATTTCTGCAGACTACAAAGTTAGTTTGTGTTGTCTGCTTGTGAGCAATGTAGACTGTTCTTCCACTGATTTGAAAATTAAAAAAGAAATGATATTAACTTCAAAGGGAAATTATATGCTAGTGTTTGATACGCTAATGCAAACTTGCCTATGATTATAGGTAAGAAATCAGTCAGGGTGATCCCATCAGCAGACTATCATGAATCCTCCTGGAGGCTGGTTCTTCAGTAGTCCAAGCACAGACTGATCTGGGCACGATATGCAGGAATGTCTCTTGAGACTTGGATCTAGGGTGTATAATTCTGAACTCAGTGCACAGAAAACCTTCCAGCAGTTCTCATTGACTCTGAATGAGCTCTGAATCCATTGCTCAAAGAGCTCTCCACAGTGGTCAGCATGTGTCTTGGAATCTATGAGGTTAACAAGTAAACAACTCTGCTGTTGACATTTTTAACAACAAAAGCAACACCAGTCCAGGAAACTCAAGCCACGAAAAACCCCCTCATATAAACAGATGCAGGAATGATCAACACTTTTCCTGCTCCAGAGGCACATTAAACAACCAGATTTTCAAACTCAGAGTGGGCCAGACAGGATGACACTGTGAGAATGATTGAGCCCTGCAGTTCCCACAACTACAACAGGAGAAGTGAGAAGAGACCGCGGAAAGACACAGATGGAACAGAGGAGACAGATCTGAGGAGAGCTCACTTCCACCAAGGAACAGACAGCTTGTTAGACAATGCCACACTTTTCTGCTAAGGAAGACAATGATGGCCGCATGGGTTAAGATAAAGGAGCTCAACGTTCACAATTTTCCTCTGATGGGCAAAGATTCTGCCACACCAAGACTTCCAAGTACATCTTTTCACATATTGAATGACAACACAATAAACTGAAGTACAGACCATGAGTTCAGTAAAACTAATCCCATCTGATCTCCAATCAGGAAATTTTAAGAGAGAAATCTGCACCCACTATACAAAATTGTCCGTTTTGGGCAGACATTCAATCTCACTTGTTCTAGAGATATATAAGAATAATATTAATATTTCATACTTAAAATAACAAATTGTGCAACTATTTCAAATTAGTGTAGGCAAATCTTACAGAACTTTTGAGTGCTCAGCAGCACAAAATTAGCTTTGAAGTAGCCTTTTAATTAAGTAGTGAAATAAAACCCAATAAAATAGCAATGGGAAGCTATCTTCATAATTGATCACTATTATATGACTTCCTGGAGCACTGACATCAATTATGCTCATATGTCAAAACAATGTTGGCACTCTGCCAGAGAAGATTCAGGCCAGGGCCAATAATTTATGTCTTTGTATCTCCAGAAATCAGTGAATGGTTTGGTCAATTTCTAACTGTTAAATGCTAATAATTTAATAGGCAGCATAATGAATGACAAGTCAGTAGCTCTTCTAAGAACTGTCTTGTTATACATATAAGTAAAAAGGAATAGACGTTCATTTTAACTAGCTTCACTTCAAGCCTACTTGCAGGTACAATAGACCAAGACTTAATAATTATGGAGCTAGATAGTTGTTCAAAGGCCTTTTTCATTCCAGTCTCACATATGTGACCCGTTTTATCAAGGAACCATTCAAGCCTGATGTTGACAAAAAATGAACACCACTTTTGGTATTTTATGGCACTAACGTGCTTTTTCTCCACTAACTGGTAACACTTTTCAGTTACAGAAGATTCGGTGCTTCTTGCAGTGTAATTAATTATTGCATATGAAAAACAAAACACTATCAAAACAGGATATCGAAACCAATCTTTTATCTTACAAACATGAAAACATGGTACAGACTCCTACGTAGAGGTTGCCCTTAGATGCCAATGCTGGCTTGCAGTCCTGCATTGAAGGGCCTGATAAATGACAGCCCACTGAGAGGCTGTTTATATAACAGATTTATTGGAAACCTTGTCAATAACTTACATGTGCTTTAGATAATTCTGTATTCAGTTGCCAGGAGACTTGTGCTCCTGATGAGATAAAATGAACAGGATATCCTCTATAGCTTTGTCACTTTTTTTCACTAGTAAATAAAATCAGAACAAGTGTTATAAAATGCTAAGTACTATAAGCAGGAAAAAAAAAGATGAGCACTGCATTTTTTAAATATACAGCCCCCTTTGCCCTCTCCAATTATAAGATGATAAAAGATCACCTTTATAAAGTAGAATGACCGGATTTTGTGGAACGTGGCTGTTTTGGCTCCAAGGTATTTGTAGCATTATAGTATCAGAGCCAGGATACAGCTGCCTTGTGACTAAGATGTCGTTCACTTGAATAAGTGCTATCCAATCACTCGACGTCACCAGACATCTGTTTCCTGTTTTCATTCTTTCTTTCACTGTTATCATTTTATCCAAGTTACCCTTTCACCTGAAAACCACTTGGACACCTATAGCAAGCAGTGCGTGCACACGCGTGCGGGTATCAAAGAAGTTGACTTAGGAAAAAAATCTCTGAAAGCAATTTGTTCATTTTAATACAAAGAGCAGGAGCAGAAACAAAGTTGCCTTCCCCCCTCTCCTCCTCCCAAAAATACACAATGATACATAAACACTTTTGTCTTCTGGTCTTCACTAATATGACTAACTTCCTTCTTTGCTTCCAGTTAAGTAGCTTTCCTGTTGAGTACCACCACCTCCACATAATACAATTGTGAATTGATTCATAAAAACAGAAACATTATGGCACAAATAAGGGAAGGCAATAAATACTCTTCCCCCTCCAACTCCTTCCCAAATGGAGGTGGCAGCATTGTAACAACAGCAAGGAAAAAAAAAGTAAAAATAAGTATTGCTTGTCATTTAAGTTTCCAAACCTACAATCATCAGGATGCAGAACAGGATACATCTAAAGTGAGAAAGTTATTTACTTCACGTTCAAGTTAACACTCGCTATACTTGTTTTGGCAAGCAGTGTTACTTTTGAGGTGCCAGAAAAGTGTTGTGCACCTTATAAAAACTGGTGTTAACACCAGTGAGAGCAAATTCCTGCTATTCACAATCCAGTTTTATATTGGTGTTGTTTTGCTATGCTTCACCTATACTTCAGCTATAAATCAGGAGAACGCCCATTATTAATAGCATCTCACACACATTAACAGACAATAGAAACTGAACTGTAAATTGTCAAAGAAAAAAAAATTACTTTCCATTGCTAATCTTTGCATTCTATGCTAGTTATTCTGCATGAGAACATTTCACTTTGTCTTGTAATTACAGATGTTCATACAGATTGCCAACACCACTTGCTGAGCAAAGCAGAAATCTGAGTTGACAAACACCAGCAAGAAAAAAAAAAATTGCTACTTCTTTTATTCTCTGAAAGAAAAAGCAAATGCTTTTCTTACTGAAGCACACAAATGAAACTGCAGGTGTTACAAATTAGAAGCAGATTCTGGCACTTGGAAGGCTTTCCCTAGGTGATGGGGTGGTTTGTCTGCTACAGGAAACTATAAGCAGCATTTCCAAAGGCACATAAAAAATTGGAAAGCAAGCGTTATTCTTATGTTCTGGTCTTCCGGACTGCTTCCTGCATCTTGATATCCAAATTATCCCTACTTTAATGCCAAACTCAGCTTCCATTAAAAGTTCAAGTAATTATGAAACATCTCACTAAGTTGTGAAGAGTCAGATCAATCACTCACAGATTAAGGTTCTCCTTTCGATTTACTGCGTGGTTTGTCATCCCAAAATGCCCAATCCTAAGCATCCAGATAAAACTTAGGATTGTAATACTTCAGTATTATTGATAAAACAAGCAGTTGTTGGAAATATTTACCCACTTTGTATCAAGCTGTTCTTGTTACATACTGTGTTCTACAAAAATAATTTGCAGGTTTTTTTTTTTACAACACCTGAATTAGTCTCCTACCACACAGTATGACCAAGTTGAAAACTGAATCCTTACTGTATGTTTTGTCCATCACATATGTTCTTCATTCATCCTTCATAATCTAACGTCACTGGATGCACTATTAATATTCATTGTCACTGAATTCTGTGCATGTTCAGCAACAACATTATATCTGCACCTGGACAACTTTTAAGTTCCATTTGAATAAAAGCAGTTGTTAAGACAGTTATCTTTTGTTTTTGGAATTCAGATGAAGTTCTTTCAAACTACACACTGTGGCTTTTGTAAATTCCATCTGAAGCAATGACTACAAGACAAAAAAAAAAAAAAAAAGAAAGAAGCAAATTGTGATTTTCTGGCAGTGGCAAAATCCAGAACATTGCTATGAACTTGAAGAGGTTAACAAATTCTTCTGTACTTTGACGGTTTCCAGTGTTATTTTATTTTCGCCATCCAAGAAAAACTGATGGTTTGTGTGTTGGAAGTGTTCAAGGTAACATTTTCTATAACATTAATTGGAATGCTGTATAACAATTTAAAATATTTCAGATTTTTGGATTGAAGGGAAATCCAAGTATAAACTAATTATTAAGTCAAGCTACTCTTCAGAAACATCCACTGAAACATACAGTGCCAAACTATTTTTTCTGCAAAAAATATAATAGGCAAATAATAGCAAGAGAAAATGCCCAAATACATGCTTTATTTCAGACTCCACACTGCTTCCAAATGTTAAGACTTTTCATACACGGTGTTATGAAAAAGAGCAAAAGCTACGCCAGTAGATTACATAAACAAAAACTTCTGTTTTGTCTGGTGTAACAGGAGTCTTAAAAAAAAACAAACACCACTTCGTATCCATTATTTCATATCCAGATGTTTCCTGTACACCTGCAGTTGTCTCCAGTCCTGAAATCACGAGCTATAGTATTTTAGCAGCCTCTCATCAGTTGGCTTCAGAATTTTCTTGTCTGCCATGTTTACGATCCATCCTGGAGCAAGACCAAAAAATATCTGCCTAGGGTCTTTGCGCATACTTAACATTTTGAAGAGCTCATCCTTAGTTATGTCTGGTAGGGTATAACCATACTTCTTGGCAAGTTCAAGTCTGGCTTCTGCAACCTTAGATGGATCTGCCAGGTACCCACGATTATTGGCATCTGTGTAGTAACGCACCAGGTCTTCAGGGGGAAGCATTCGCTTTGGAATAGGCCGGCCACGCAGGAAAAATGGGACTGGCTTAATTAAAATCTCTGCAAAGAAAAGAGATCAGATACGATCTTTTATAATCATTATTTAGGGACAGTAAATTACACTCACTTAGTATTTTGTGCTAAATAACATTTTAAGCTAACTTAATAAAAACATACCAAGCAAAAACCAAATCTTAGGAATATTCTTATTCAGAATGAAATGCCATTTTCCTATCCAAACAAAGACGTGTGTCATCACAAATATCAGAACAGTCTAGATGAGTTATCATTTGCAATACATTTATAATGCCTTCATTGGAAAGATAACACTGAGGAAGATGGCATCTTCTGGCTTAAAGCACTGGCTAAGATGTTAAAAATCACTATTTACACAGTCAACGAGTGGCAACTTCAGTGTTTCCTTAAGTATTTTAAACAAAAAGTCAATAGGAAGTTTATTAGATTGGACATAAGGAACAAATTCTTTACTCAAAGGCACTGTAACAGATTGCCCAGAGAAGCTGTGCATTCACTGACCCTATTCAAAGCCTGATCGAGCAGGTGGCAACTCTGCCCACAGTGGGGGACAGGGAGATAGAACTAGAGAATCTTCAAGGTCCCTTCTGAGCCATTCTATGAGTCTGTCTGGACATTTGGGAAACTGTCCTCACCTCATTTTCATCTACAGTTAACAAAATACATTTCAGATGTTTTTAAACTAAATATTTGATCATTTCCTGGATTAGGAAAAAAAAGAATTGCTTATATTAGTCTAGGACAACATATTTTGTACAAAAGAAGCTTACTCTTCTTGTCCTCAGCCTCATTCACACATGAAAGCTCCATTATTGTCAATAAAAATGGCATGAATGAATACCAGGCAGGATGCAGCCTCGAGCAAAGCAAAGCCACATTCTTCAGTGAAAGTGTTCTAAAACAATAGCCATTTTTATTGGAATGATTCTGACCTTCTCTAACTTAGTTATTTCCTCATTTTAAATGGAAAGCAATTTTAAATTAAAAATACCAACAACCAAGCGTAATTTAAATCAATCTTCCCCTGAGTTTCCCAAGGGTTATTAAATGTGTGGAAAAGACAAAAATTCAAAGAATCAATCCTTTATTAGTTCCTTTGTTTACGCAGCAACTGACATTTCTTAAACTGGCTGACAGGTAAATAACCATTAACACCAGTAGGGCTAAACAGATGAACGTTTTAAGAAAAAAGAAAATGGAGGAGACGCTGCAGGTCAACATTTATATAATGTATCTTTTGCTTAAGCTTTTAGAATGGATGAAGTAGACAATTTTCCAATAAAACTACATTTGAAATTTGGACCCTTAATCTTCATATTAATAAGTCAGAAGTCAACAGAAATTCTTACCCAAACTCCTTGGATCGTAGAATGATGTTGTAACAACACCTCCATTTTTTTCTATAGCTGCAATTGCTAATTCAGATGCCCTCTGCACTTCAATATTTATTTTTGCTGCAAAGATATCAGCACCCTGTAAGTTTCAATACATATTAGATTAACATTAACAGGAGTATTTTAAGGCATACATACATTCTTCTCTGCAAAGTTATAAGAAACATTTTATCCTGAAAAAAAACCCTATGATTTGTCTGTTTACTGTCCCAAATTGTTCTCAGTCACATGGGTTCAATTAAAAAAGTTCATACATTTATTTTTTTATGTTCTGAACTTCTGCCCCAAAATAATTTTTGACCTATCGTTATGTTTTCTGTAACTGCTACTTTTGTCTGGTCTTAAAAGATCTCCCTAATATTTTGCTTGCATATGCTGCCCTCTAGTGGATTTGATATCATGAATTCTACAGAAAAGTAATTTAAAAAAAGCAAGGATGCTTCCAAAGCAGGACAAGTGGACAGTCTAGTGTGGAAAAAACTGAAAACCCAAGGCTTTACGCTGCCTGAAACAATATATCTGTAATGTATGCCTACCTCCTCCACCAGCTGGACACCATAATCCCGTTTGAGAGGTTGCACTGTTACACCTCTGGCATTAGTAAGCTGTGTTAAGTCAATCGGTTGTGTAGGGTCAACTCTACCCAAATCAATCAGGTACTGCAGCCTCTGAAGACTGAGCGGATGATACTGACGTCGGCAGCTGGCAC